TGGGTGAAACCAATGGCTGTCGCTGGCGCAAACCAGTACACCTTTCATCTAGAAGCTACAGACAATCCGGGGGCCTTGATAAAAGACATTCGGGAGAATGGGATGAAGGTGAGGGGAGCGTAGGCTTCAAGTAGCGCACTGCGCTCGGCTTAACTTAACTGCTGTGTTCCTGGCAACGAAAAACCTATCGAAAAAACCCGTCGTTGCCGTTTCAGGTGGTCAGAGATTGGCACGTGCAGCCCTAACACGCTCTCTGCATGAAGTCAGTCTTCAGTTTTAGTTAAGAAACTCAGGAATCTCTATTTAAAGCAGCCTGTTCTTACTGCACTTACACAGACACATAATTATTTTCCTAGGAGGCTATCCTGAGCTCACGCTAATCTTGCTCTCACCCTAAGGTGCACTTGGGTTCGTCTTTCTTCTCCTGCAGGTTGGTTTGGCGATCAAGCCTGGCACTACAGTTGAACACTTGGCACCTTGGGCCAATCAGATAGACATGGCATTGGTGATGACGGTAGAACCTGGCTTCGGAGGGCAGAAATTTATGGAAGACATGATGCCAAAGGTAAACTAAGTTTATCTTCTCTCATTTATTGAGCTTAAAGCCGATTACTAGTATGGAGTGTAGTGATGAAGTGAATAAACCTTGTCTGGGCATGTAAGAAGCTATACTTAACTGTAGCAGCCGAGTGTGGATCTCGGTGCCAACCTTTTTCTACTGTTTCTCAGGTTCAGTGGCTGAGGACACAGTTTCCCTCGTTGGATATTGAAGTGGACGGAGGGGTTGGGCCCGATACCATCCATAAGTGCGCAGAGGTAAGAGGCTGAAGCGGAGCAGCATTCTCAGTCACTGTGCTAAGAGACTTAATCATCCTTCGGAAAATAAAGCTTAGGAGGAATTGCGTTTTGACCGTTAGTTTTTAGAGGGAACAGCAGAGCACACTTAATACCAAAAATCTACCTGAGGTCTAATCTTGTGCCTTTTTCTTAATAGTGGCTACTGAAGCCCTCCCTAAGTTAGAGAAGTCGGTTGTTTCTCATATGTTTGTGTAAATAGGAGCCACGATGAGGAAATTCCCTTTTTGGGGAAGAGCTGTCTTTTCTGAACTCGATTTGTGGTCGTAGGTAGAGGTATGTTACCCGTGGCCCAGAAATAGCACTTGTTTGCCCACCAGCCTAGAACTCACTACCGCCGTACGTGTTTTACAGCAGGAAGACTCTTTAAGTGGATCTGTTGCATGTTATTGAGTGGGTGTTTAATGTCTTTCAGGCAGGTGCAAATATGATTGTATCTGGCAGTGCTATTATGAAGAGCGCAGATCCACGATCTGTGATCAATCTTCTAAGGAATGTGTGTTCAGAAGCAGCTCAGAAGCGCTGTCTGGATCGGTGAGACCTACCCAAGCAGTGTTCAAGAAGGCTCTGTGCGTGCAGGAGAACCCTTGTTTCTCACGCGTAAGGGAGGGCTGGATGAACGTTAATTATGGAAACTTGTTGCTGCTGAACAGAGGAATCATTCCTTCGCTGCAATGAAGCACGCAGCAGTAAAAAACATTCTGGCTGTCTTTCAGGGTTGGAAATGCAATGGTTTGAACCTCTCTCTTGATTCTGTGGAGGCTGATTTTATGGCACAACCTGTGACGCTGACTGGACTGAACTAAATGTCAGTCAGTTTTTTTGCTTGCTAGAAGAGTGTAGCATCGCCACAAGCACTCTCTCTTGTGGAAGACTCTAATCAAACTGCCTTCTGCTGTCTGTATTGTGTCATTTGATCTGTGCGTTCCTACAAAACTTTTCCACTATCTGCATTAAACTCCCCTCCCTTGGTGTGGTAAGTCTCCTTTAAGCTGACTGTCAAAAATGAGTGGGTTTTGGGAATAAGGTTGGGAAAAATGTAGTTTAAGAGGGCTGAAAAAATCCCGTGGATGCTAGAAATGCTCCTGTGTTTTGCTTTTACTGCAGAGAGGTACTCGACCTACGTAAGTCAAGCATCAAACAAGTCAGTGCAACATCTTTCCCAGGTCACAAACTGGGAAATATCTTCTCATTTACATTTCAAATAACCAGTTAGGACAGCTGGAAGTGAGGGGATTCCATGGAAGAATGTTGCTTTAAAACCCTACGGATAGCTAGTTAAAAAATTTTTATCTTGACCCACAGCCTCCTTGGCTTGTACATATATATTCCTGAGTAAACGATTAAGTATGTAACATTCCTATATGTTGCTGAGGTGATTTCAATGTATGTAGGTTGAAATGTGCTGCAGGGAGGTGGCTCTGTGAAATGGCTTAATGCTCCTCTTAGTTATGGAGCCAAATAGTTCTCATACCTTCAGTTTGCTTGTGTGTCGACTCCATGGCCTGGCCTGTTTGGGCATGTGAAAGGTGAGGGTTACAACCCACGAGAGGAAGACCTGAGCAGGTCATTTTAGACAGACCTGCTTCACATGGCTGTAATTGGTACTGCTGACTCCTTTAATATGTCATGGTATTTTTTTTTTCTCCTTCAAGTTGTAATTACGGAAGGGTTGCAAACAAACAGTCTGCTGCCCCAGGGGAACAGGCCAGAAGGCTCAATGGCTGCAGCCAGTCCATTTCCACAAGGCCAAAGTAAAATCTGTTCTTTCAGCAAAGCTGGGCAGGTGTCACCCACCAAATGCCAAGGCAGTCCTAGAGCTGATGCACACCTCCCCTTCTTCTAAGCCTGGCACCTGCAAGGTGTCCCACAGCTGGGCCTCTGCGCGGTGGCTGTGGAAGGCGATACAGCTGTGATACAGCGTGGGTCACTGCCCGTGTTAAGCAGTCGGAACTAGGGCTAGTTCTAACAGTCTAGACAAGTGTCTGAAACTACTACTTTTTCCTGTGTGGCTAATTGCGGTTTAGGTGAACAACTGTCTTTGCTTCCTGTTTCCACTTGCAACCCCAGCTGAGAACTAGCAAAAGAAAAATGGAGTCATCTGGACCTACGGCACTGAAGACATCTTTCAGAAGAGGTTTGCCAAAAGAAAGCTTGGCTAGGAAAGGTAATACTCCACATGGCTGTTAGATGCGTTAAACCAGCTGATTCGTACTGCTGAGAAGAACCTGTGTAGAGTCTTAATACAGCGTGCACAGAGAAACAGTCACGGCTCTGGTATCTGAAACGCAGGCCAAGCAGCCCCAAACGGGCTATGAAAATGTTGGTTTAGGTTTTGGATGTGTGGCTTTTCATGCTACTGAAAACAGGACAACAGCTGTAGTATCCTTGCCTCCTGCAGTTGACCTTTAGCTGGTTTGAAAGGGTAATCAAACTATTTCTGCCTTTTTTGTTTTTTTTTTTTAATAATTGATTGGGGGCAGAGGAGATGAACATCCCCAAGTCATGCTAGTTAACTGACAGTACTATGCTTTGTTCTGAGCATGGAACCATAGGAGATGTTTTCCTTCACAGGTTGTAGTCACTTTGTCATTGTTTTACATCTGGTAGTTTGCACTTCCATTGACTCTCAGGAGCGTTGTGGGAGAGAGAAACTACTCGCACAGAGCAAAATTACTCAATTGCTTCTTTCTGTCTGAATCCCACCCAGATGGGTTAATGCAGCTGGCTACTACTGCAGCAGCTTTTTACACACCTAGGGTTAAATCTATGCGTGACCACTGAGCATCCATGGAAGCAACAGTAACGATACTTGTTCTTTTAGTGCTTAAGACTGTTCCAGTTTTTTGCCTCTATACCTTAACAGATGTAATGTGTTAGGCTCTATTTAGGCCTGTCCTCCTGTACTCAGTAATACATAACCCTGCAGCTGCAGGACTTGAACCGAACACTGACATAAAAAAACCTGAAAGAGCTGCTTGCATGGTATCCACAGGGCCAAGTAAACCCCAGGACCATTAGAGGTTGCAATACTCTGACAAAGTTTAAGCAACAAAGGCGAGCACAGGCCGGTGATATTAAATTGCATGGTCTGGCATGGTGGAGGGTGATCTGACAGAGTGCAGGAGAACAAGATAAACTCTGCTATAGCCGAGTAAGGCTGAGCTTGGACCTGTGCGTGCTCCGCATGGTGGTACAGTGCACATCTCTGAGCAAGATAAAAACTGCAGTAGATGCACACAGAGCTTAATTTTAATAAGGCTTAGAAGTTTGTATTTGTACTTACATTCCATGAAGGTCCTGGATGCAGAGATGAAGCATTTAAGCCCTCACAGCAGCAGGGAGCAGAACATAAGTGACCTTAAAAAAAGTCTCAATTGAAAAATGGTAAACAAAACACAAGGGAAATGGCTTTGTTTTTGTGAAGCTGCAACACCCCAGTTTCGGGGGGGGGGGGG